AGGGGGGGATATTGTTTATTCAAAATTTAGTTCCGGGTTTACGAGTTACAGCCATATAAAACTTACATATGAATCAAAGATGGGTAGCTGATATCTTAGGAAACACTAGAGATTAAAAAAAAAAAAATTTTCATTACATCTTTCGCTGCTTCTTCTTTCCTATCAAACATCTATCGTCCTTATCTGCCCTCCTTCTTTTTTGTGCTTGTAGCTTTCTTGTAACACCTCTAATCTTCGGCACTAATATGACCTTATTGTGTTGCAAGTGCCGTAAAACCCTTACTAAAACTAGAAACTAGAAGTTGACGGAACAAATCCTACAAATCACCAAAACAACAAGACGAATTCCTGTGATAAATGTAACAAGACAATCATAAAGTAATCAGGGACTGTAATTTAGAGAAAAAGATAATCCCTAATTTGTGTGTGAGACTGTGTCAGTGTGTCTCCGAAATGTGTCGCGTGTCCTTGGACTGACATCACCACAGTGAGTAAGTGAGGAGAGTGATGGGAAGGCAAACTGGTGCTGGTTATGAACGGACCGGTTCGAGAGGGATTTTTCGTTTTCATTTGTTGTTGATGTTGTTGTTGTTGTTGTTGTTTGTTGGGTTGTTTTTTGTTGTTGTTGGTTGTTGTTTTGTTTTTGTTTTTTTTTTTGGGGGGGGGGTAAGTGATGGAGCAATTTACATTCATCCAATCCACCTTTAGACATAACAATCAAATATTATTATATATCACAAACAAGTCAAGTCCACACCATACTTCAATACATGAGTTAGATCAAAGCATGCCGGTGTAAGAATCAGTCAGCTATTATACAGAACGCTCGATTTCACAGCAAACTTGGAACGTTGATGTCTCCTAGTGAACAAATTCAGACAACAGAACCCACAGTGACATCTGCACTGGACAGCGACAGTTCCCAATGTCAGAAGCAGCTGTGTGGATCACAGAACTGACCCAGAAGTTGTCCCGTATTATGACGTATTATTTCATCCCAGGAGAAAGTTAAGGGAGGTCACTTATTGCTAGAGAGGGTTACAGTGATGGGTTAAAGGGATACTCCCCCCCCCCCTTTCCTTCCGCCCCCAAACCGACTGTTCATGAATGATGAGATACTAGAGCTGTTTCCGTAGCTGTCTACCCACTTGTTCAAAACAATACCTTCTAGTCCCAAACAAACAAACGATGGGAGCAGAAAGGAGATTTTGGGATTTTATCTTCAAGGTGGACCGGTGAGTGCTGCGGTTATTCACACGTGCAAACTACGTGCGTTGGTATTTATCAAAGGGACAGAATTGTACAAGTGTGTGTGTGGGAGAGGGGGGGGGGGAATAGCAGTTGAAAACATGTGCAGTAAGACGGAGACAAATAAATAAAGTGACACTGTGAGCTGAGCAAACTACATAGTTCACACACCAAGACACTTAACGCTTGTACCCACGTCCTGTAGGGTTGTACACTGACGGCTATGGTAATCTTTACATGGACAGACATAGTTCTCATCTAGATTTTCCCCCTTTGTTTTTGTGTTTGTTTCTTCGCTTCCCATCATTCTGAATCTGTGACTAATCGAGTCGACTCGTCTTCGACAAAAAGAACGCACTTTCCCCCCTGTCCCCGCCAGTACGTTATTGTATTTACTGTGGTCATTGAACACATTGTGGGAGAGCTGTACCAGCACTGCCGATCTTACAGGCCTGGCAAAGTTGTACTCAAGACCATGTTACTTTGAGAATCACAAAAACCTCCCTGATAATTGAGAACTTAAAAAAAAAAATAAGTATAAATGTACATTTTGACAACAGGCGCAGCATCAATACATTAAGTTACAGGCAAGCAGGGGTTTCAAGCAACGACAACAAAACCCCCCCCCC